CTGCAACCAGAGTATACTCCAAAACCATGAGCCAAACCATTACTATAATAAGTATGTCAGTCTCAGTTACACAAAAGTAACTAACAAAACCTCTAGCAAATCATCTTGCTGCCCCTCAGGCCCACTCGGGGAAGGGGGGGGTCCTCCTTCTCAAACACACACACACACACACACACACACGCACACACACACACGCACGCACAGCTCCAATCAGTGTCTTTGCCTCTATTTTAAGTACTAGCATTTCCTATAAGGCTTTAGAAAACTCTTACCTAGAACATCAGTGTTCCGGGGCTGGGAGGATAACTCAGTCAGTAAAGTGCTTGCCTGGGATGCACAACACCCTGGGTTCCACAGCCAGTAACTCCATAAGCCAAGCTAACCCTAAGCCTAAAGCAGGCATGGTTTATGCAATGCACACTTGAAATCCCAGGAGTTGAGAGACAGCAGTAAAAGGATCAGAAATTCGAGATCAGCCTTGGCTATGCAGCACACAGCAAATTTGAGATTAGCATCGGATACACTAGACCCCTGTCTCAAAAATTAGTTGGTTAGTTAGTTAGTTAGTTAGTTAGCTAGCTAGTTAGCTAGTTATTGCTGAGACAGGGCACTCAGTGAAGTGCCTAGAGCCTTGCAAGCATGAAGATCACAGTTTGACTCCCTAGCACCCACAGAAAAAGCCAGGTGTGGTGGCATGGCCACGCAATCCAAGTGCAGGGTGGTAGAGATGAGAGGATTCCTGGGGGCTCACTGGCCATCCAGCCCAGCCTAACCAACAGGCTACAGGCAAGTGAGAGATTCTGTCTCAAAAAACAAGGGGAAAGCTCCTGAGTAATGACACTTGACTTTGTCCCCTGACCTACACAGCCGCATACACAGAGAGAGGGAGAGAGAGAGAGAAAGGGGGAAGGGCAGGAGGGAGGAAGAGAAAATGGGAGGGAGGGAGAGAGAGAAGGAGGGAGGAAGGGAGGAAGGGAGGGAGGAAGGGAGGAAGGGGGGAAAGGAGAGAGAATTCCAATATCCAGACCCAGTCCTTCCATTAAAATCCAAGGATGAGCCAAAGAGCCCACCGCCACATCTTACTACAGCGCCTTGTGTTACACGCCCTCCCCTGAAACCAGCTGCCTCAGAGATGCTCAATGCTGCAGCAGCCTTCTTAGGTCTGATAAGTTGAGTAGCACTGAGCAAACACTGGGGGAAGAGAGCAGAACCTAGCATAGGGACCATGGAAGTGCCTGGGGTCTCATGGGGGAAGGGGAGACACAAGAGGAAAGACAGGTGGCCTTTTCAAGGGGCTACTTGGGTGGTTGACACCAACCTAAGAACCAAAGCCATCTGAGCAATGGTGCAAGGAGAAGCTGAGTTCCCTTCGCCTCTTGCTGAGTAGGAACATAAGGCCACGGGGCAGTTTGTGGGACCTGTTTATGGAGAGATTCTCCAAACTGTTCAGAACAGGGGTGGGAGGGAGAAACAGAGAGAGAGAGAGAAAAAATGCCCTTTGAATTTCCATTGCTTTGAGAGTCGGCAATTTAATGAGTCATACATTCTAGATCCCTGCTTTGTCTACACATTTTCATTTCAAAATACTAAAAACACTTTGTTTGGAAGATTGGTTATTTTTAGCTTATATATCAATAGTGCGCATTCACTTCTCCCCAGAGAGAACAGCTTCCTTCAGATTGGCCCGCAGCACCACCCCAGAAGAATGGAGCTGTTTACTTGGCTGTGTTTTGACAAAACTAAGTGGGAGGCTCTGTCCCATTTTTTTTGAGGTATCCAACTGCACTACTGACCACCCAGGAGTCACTCAAGACCAATTCTCTGACAGTTTGCTTTGTCAACTTGACACAACCTGACATGGCCTGGGAAAGGAGTCAGCATGAGAGACTTGCTAGATCAAGTTGGCCTGTGAACGTGTTTGTGAGGGATTGTCTTAATTGCTGTGGGATGATCCAACCTGCTGAGGGCAGCGCCATTCCCTAGGCCGAGGTCCTGAATGGTGTAAGAATGTAGGAATCATGTTCGCATTCATTTTTCTCTGCTCTTGACTGTGGATGTACCGTGCCTATTGGAAGATCACTGCTGTGTCAAAAAAGATGAACTATAAACCTAGGATTGTGAGCAGAAATAAAGCCCTTTCCTCTAAGTAGTTTTTGGTCACGGTACTTTATCACAGTAACATAGATGGAAGTGAAAAGGCATCCCCAGATTCCCCCAGATCCCAGAGCATGGACAGAGATGGAAGAGCATTCTTTAAGCCTCCAAACCAAGGAGCCAGGGTCCTTACAAGTCAGGACTGCTAGCTCTTCGGGCATCACCTTTGTAAAGGGTTGCAGCTTAGATCTCAATAGAGCAGCTTAGTATTGGCCTTGGCGGCACACAGCTGCAAGTCCAGCACTCAGGAGACTGAGGCAGGAGGATCATGGGTTTCATATCAGCCTGGAATACAAAGAAAAAAATGTAAAAAGGATAGAGGGTGGGGAGGAAAGAACTTGCATTACTTAAGGTGGGAAACCCCACTTATCTACGGGTTGCACCATCCCAAAGATTGAGGTCCCCGACTGAATAAAAAGAAAGAGAGTGAAGTGAGCACTCCCATTCATCTCGCTCTCTTCCTAAGTGTCTACCAATATGCCTTCCCCACCATGGTGGGCCATAGCTCCTCAATCAAAACTAGGACCGAAATAATTGTCTCTCCCTGAAGTTGCTCTGTGTTGAGTTTGCCACAGCCATGGCAAAAGTAGTCAAACACCTGACCAAACTTCCCATGCAGCCATTCTGAGCCCACTCATAGATATAAGCTGGCCTCTGGTTCAGAGTTCTAAGTCCTGCATGTCAAGACGCTCTTGGCCAAGAGTTTCATCAGCTCCTGCCCTTGAGATCTCAAACCTTGAATTGTCTGGGAGAAGGTCCAGAATCTAGATAGAGCCTAGTCATGTCCTGTGCCTGAGATCTCCGTGCTTGCATATTCACAGTTCTGGGGAAGCATAATGAAAAGTCAAGAACTGCATCACCAAAAATATTCCCACCTCCCCCAGACACCAAGCATGAACACTTTCCACCTCTAATAGGAGCTGGGATGGAGCATGCAAGAGACTCCATGACCAACAGCCTTAGAGAGATCATCTCAGAATAGATCAATTTAAAGAACTTATCATTTAACCTTTGATGCCAGTATCACAGAGATCTAAAATTCCCTTCTATGCAAAACCACTAATGCAAAGAAAACAAGTAAGATCAAAACCCAGGGAGTTCGATGGCTTGGTAACACCCTGGACTGACCTCTCCTATACACAGGGAAATGTGAGGAGGAACAGAAAGAAAGAGGACAGAGGAAGGAGTGGAGGAAGGAGCAGGAACAGGAGAAAGAAAGGAAGAATCAGAGAAGGAGGTTAAAAAGGAGGTGGAGAAAGAGGGAGAGAAGGGGGGAGTAATAGGGTGGTGGAAAAGGAGGTGAAAGAGAAAGGAGAGGGAAAGAGAAGAAGGAGGAGGAGGGGAAGTAGACCCATAACTGGCCTTAGAGGGACTTGAGTGATGTGGAATTCTCCTCTGTATGTTGCAATGCCATTAATGAATAAAGAAAACTGGCTTGGCCTGATAAGGGCCAAGGTGGGAAAAACTAAACTGAATGCTGAGAGAAAGGAGACAGAGTCAGGGAGAAGCCATGGAGCTGCAGCCAGAGACAGACTTGCTGAAACTTTGCTAGTAGGCCACGCCCTCCTGGTGATGCACAGATTAATGGAGATGGAGATGGGTTAAATTAAGATATAAGAGTTAGCAAATAAGAAGTTACAGCTAATAGGCCAAGCAGTGATTTAATTAATATAGTTTCTGTGTGATTATTTCAGGAGTCTGGGCAGCTGGGAAATGAACAAGTGGCCTCATACAACACTTGGGTAGGAATTCTGAGTTCTCCTTTGTGTGGGCTCAGGCCAGTCACTCAGTGTTTGTTAACACTTTTTCTCTTGCAAAAATGCACTTGTACAATTAAGCCTGGCGATGCACACCTAGTAGTCCAGCTACTTGGGAGATGGAAGCAGAAAGATTCCAAGTTCGAGGACTATTTGGATTACTGAGTGGGTTTAAGGCAAGGCTGAGCAACTTAATAAAACCATGTCTCAAAGTAAGAAAAAAAGAAGACGTGGAATATAGTATCATGGCAGAACACCTGCCTAGAATCCCCCAGTGAGGGGCTGGGGTGTGGCTCAGTGGTAGAGCCCCTGCCTAGAATCCCCCAGGGAGGGGCTGGGGTGTGGCTCAGTGGTAGAGCCCCTGCCTAGAATCCCCCAGTGAGGGGCTGGGGTGTGGCTCAGTGGTAGAGCCCCTGCCTAGAATCCCCCAGTGAGGGGCTGGGGTGTGTCTCAATGATAGAGCCCCTGCCTAGAATCCCCCAGTGAGGGACTGGATGTGGCTCAGTGGTAGAGCCCCTGTCTAGAATCCCCCAGTGAGGGGCTGGATGTGGCTCAGTTGTAGAACACTTGCCTCAAATCCCCTTATGAGGATCTACACATCACTAGTCTAATACCCACAAGGTCTTAGGTTCAATCTCCAGTACTCTTCACACACACACACACGCGCGCACACACATACACCCTTGTGATTTAAAAGATCCTCGTGGGAATGTTTTTTGAGAATTAATTAAAATGACCTATGTAAAGGACATTTTTCCCATGCTGTTACTTGCTCTGCATTCTGCAAGTTACACCTATTTCGTGACAGCTCACACTCTCTCAAGCCCAGTATTGACATTGAGTTTGCAACCACACCCTCTTGCCTTGAGCATGAATCTCGAATGGAGTCCATGGAAACCCACCACCTCCAGCATCCACGTAAACTCTGTCTCCTGTTGGAAGGCTCATCCTTTAGGAAGCCCCCGCCCCGTGGACTTCTCATAGATCCCCCCCCCCAGGCATCACAGCTCTCAGACCCCACCCCACTCCCCTACCTGGGAGTGGCAAAGCAAACTAGGTCCAGGGATTTAGGGTTGGGGGAAGACTTGCCAGGTGGGGAAGTCAGGGGCTGGGCTTCTCCGTGGCTCCTCTCCCCCTTCGGGGCTTTCTTGGTCCCCCTTTGTCTCATTCTCAGCCTTCCCATCTCCAGGTTGCTCGGGCAGCCGCATCAGGGGTCCAGAGTGACGTGGTCAGAGATTTGGGGGCACATCAAAGGAACATCAGCGAAGACATTGAGACTCTGCAAGGAGTTGACAGAAACTTACTGCCGGAAATAGCGCCGAGCGGTTATTTACTCAAAGTCGGTTGCCTAAATAATTCACACCTGCCCTTCCATGTTTACTCAGGACAATGGGAGATACAACTGTGGCCCAAGAAATGTAATTATAGTACTGACAGATGTTTAGTTATTAATACAGACTCAATGTCACCAGAGAGCATTACATAACAAACAGATCTGTGCCTCTGGGAACAACTTTAATCTTTCTAGGTACTTTTCCATTCACGCCCTCGGGCTTTGCCTAAGCAATATGAAATGAACAATAGCAGATACCTACTTGAGGGCTACTTATAAAAAAGCCCAGCACTTCACATGTAGCCCTGGTATTAGGGGTGGAGCTCAGTGGCAGACACTTGCACCACGTGCGTCAGACCCCGGATCCCATCCCTACCAGCCTTGCCTTCCTCAGTCAAAGCAAAACTATTGCCAGGCTCGATGGAGTATAGCCAAAATCCCAGCTTCCTGGGAGGCTGTAAGCAGTAAGTTCAAGGCCAGCTGGAACTACAGAGTGAGACCCTGTTTCAAACTGAAACGTAAAACAAGGGGGCGGCGAGATGGTTCCGCAGATAAAGGCGCTGACTCTGCTACTTGAGTTCAAGCCTTCGAGTTCACAGTGCAGGGAAAGAACTGCCTCCACCGAGTTGTCCTTTGACCCCTGCCTGTGCTCCAAGGCTCGCATGCACCCCCACACACATACCATGCATGCATATAGGGGCATCATGCACATATGCAATAATAAAAAACAATAATTTCTAGACAAAGAAAGAGCTGGAGATATAACTAAGTGGTTGGGCTGCAATATCCCTAAGGATGGGTCTACAGGAAGCCTTTTCTGGAAAGAAGCTTCGCAGGTTTAGATTACTAAACAAGGTGTGCGTGGTCACAGACACACACACACACACACACACACACACACACACACACACATACACATGCACACTTACACCGGCACTGGTCTATAGACATTGCGTTTGTCATGTGCTCCACCACTGGTAATTGCTCGGGAAAACCCACCTAAGCAGGAACGGTTTATTCTGGCTCATGGCTTCTGTGGCATCTGTCTGTGATGCTCAGTTTTTTGCTTCTGGCCCTGTTGTAGTGGCGGGTGGTGATAGAGCAAAGCTGCCTACCCCATGGTGGACAGGAAGCAGGGAGAGAAGCAGGAAATGGCCAGAGATATGGCATATTTTTCAGAAACCAATCCCTAGGGATGTACTTCTTCAGCTAATCGCCACCCCTTAAAGGCACACTGCTCCCCAGTAATGTCACCAGGTTATGACACTATCACTGAGTTAATACATTCAGGAAATGAAAGCCTTCAGAATTTGATCATCTCCAAAAAAAATTTCACCTCTGAACACTGCTACCTAGGAATGAAGCCTTGAACACGTGAGCTTTTGGAGACAAACTTCACAGACAAGCCATAACACAGTGTTATATAACAAGTTCCTCTGGGATGAAATACTCCAGTTCCTGGAGAGAAGCTCCTTATGACTCAGGAAGTAAACAACCCACAAGTCTTAAGCAGTCTCTGAAACTTAGCAGGCTCACAAGACCGTTCAATCCCAGTTAGCTTTAACTTTCAACCTCACACAGCCTGGGGTCACTCAAGAAGGAAATTTTAGTTGGGGTTGCCCAGGTGAGGTTGACCTGTGGATGTGTATTTAGGAGATCATCTCGGTTGTTAATCGATTTCAGAAGGACCAAGCCCACCATGGGCAGCACCATTCCCTGGGTTGGTGGTCCTGGGCTATGAAAGTTAGTTAAACTGGGGCAATCAGCAGCCAGCATCCCTCCATGGCTTTTGCTTCTCATTCCTGCTTAAATTATTGCCCTGGTTTCATTTAATAATGAACTGCAATCCGAAAGTATAAGCCAGGATAAACGCTTTGCTTTCTTAAGTTTTGGTCAGAGTGTTTCATCACAAAAACAGGAAGAATACACCTCCCTCTTCCTCTCCAAATTATTTAAGCAGTTAGAAGCGCGGAGGAGAGGGGGCTCTCTAACCTGTTGAGTTGCCCGCAATTGTGCAATGAGTTTCGGGTCCCAGCTTTCCTGAGTCATCACCCATGCTAGGCTGGCTTTCACTGATGCAGCTGTGTGAGTCACCCACGCTCCCGTAAGCAATATATTCACTGGCTCACTAGGTTGGATTCCGGTGGCTTGGTTGCTTTGGTCTGTCATCAGCTCCCATCTGGAGTGAAGAGACTTTCACACTTGTGTCCCTAGGAATAGTGTCCCACCAGAGGCACACACAACAATCCTGAATCAGACACATGGTCACAGCACACACCGGCACGGCTCTTCAGACACACACACACAGACATGATGGAATTCAGATGCCCACATGTGTCCAGATACGTCCAACGGCCTCCATTTCTGCACACACAGTCGGAGAACAGTGCTTTGCTTCACACTCACACGCTCGTACAAGAGCCCTAGGAATGAACCCCATGTCATGTCCACGCCACCTCAGACCGGACTTTCCCGTGTCAGGTACCCTGATACCCCCCACACCGCGCCCCCACAGCTGACGTCACGGCACACGTGGTCCCCACCTGCAGAGAGTCACAGTCCTATGCCCCTGTGACTCACTGCTTGCCGTGGGCTGACACCCACGCCCCACGCATGCACGAGGCATGCATCTAGACTCTCTGCGTCGCCTCTAGTTGTCTAGTGAAGTTCAGCAGGAAAAACAAATTTTCCATGTGCTGACAGTAGACATTTTTTAAAAGTGACATTTTATTTTCAAATATGGTTTTAGTTGCCAAGGGAGAGCTAGCACCACAAGAGCTGTGAGTGGTAGGAAGGACAGAGTTCCAAAGATTTCCAGTTGGCTCCCTTAGGCAAAATCCTTCCCTGTCAGGCTCCCCTAGGCAGGGTGGCCACCAGGAGAGGGCTGTTAATATAATGGAGCCACAGACCTGGCCATAAAATAGCCCGGAGCTCTCTGGCAAGGCTGTCCAAGCTCACGGGCATCAGGCTTGCGAGCTCAATCCATTTAATGACTTGGAGTTTTCCCATGAGTCCTCACGAGCGTGGCCTCAGAAGAGGCAGTTCCCCATATGGAACAATTGCTCCTGCAGCTCAGGTGACCTTAGATGTCACAGAAGCACCAAGCCAGGGAGCCCAGGACAGCAAAATCCTCCAGACGAAGCCATGCCCTCACAATTCCCCTCTTGCTGCCTGCTCCAAGCACAGCCCTGGGGAGATGGTTTGGTCAGTAAGCACAGTGTTTGCCATACAAGCATGAAGACCTGGGTTCGACCTCAAGAACCCAAATTTTAAAAGCTGGACATGGGCTGGAGAGATGGCTTAGCAGTTAAGAATACAGTTAAGAGCTCATCCAGAGACCTCTGTTCAATTCCCAGCACCCACATAGTAGATAACAATCACTTTAACTCCAGTTCAAGGGGATCACCACCCTCTTCTGACCTCCGTAGGCACAGAAGGTACTGTGTGAGTACAGTGCATCCACATCCAAACAGGAAAACAGCCCATACATACACGGTTCAAACAATGTAAGAGGGGCATGGTAACATATGCCGGTAACCCCAGAACTGGGGTAATAGAAATGGGAGGATCCCTGGGCTTCATGAGCCAGCTGGTAACCTACTTGGTGAAGTTCGGGTTGGTGAGAGGTCCTGCCTCAAAGAACAAGGCCAGGTCAATGAGATTGCTCTCAGAATAGAGACGCTTGCATATGGGCCTGACAACCTGAGTTCAACCCTGAGTCCCCCACAAGGTGGCAGAGAACAATTCTCAAGGGTTGTCTTTTGACCTCCCGATGTATGCCAACCATGGCATGCATACTTAAACTCTCTCTCTCTCTCTCTCTCTCTCTCTCTCTCTCTCTCTCTCTCGGACATATGCACACACAAAGAATAAATAAATTAGCCAATTAAAAAAACACAAGGTGGGTCAGTCATGTTGGTAAACACATTTCAGTTATGCCACTCAGGAGGCAGAGGCAAGTGAATGTCTGTGAGTTCAAGGCCAGCTTAGTCTACAGAGCAAGCTCCAGAACAGTCAGAGCTACATAATAGAGACACCCTGTCTCAAAAACAGAACAAAACAAACAAGCAAAAACCACACAGGGCAGACAGAACCTGAGGAATACCACCCAGGACTGGTCTCTGAACGCCATATTTGCATATCGTGTATTTGCATATGCATGTATGTGCATGCATACACATGCACCTGCTCTCTGTTTCTTTCTTTTTTGTTGTTTAAATAAAATACCCTGACAAAATAACTTAGAGGACAAAGGGTTTATTTTGGGTCACAGTTCCCAAGGGGCACGGCCCATCATGGCAGGAGCAATATGGTAGTTTGAATGTCATTCCCCCTGCAATCTCATAGGGAGGGGCACTATTAGGAAGTGTGGCTTTGCTGGGGTGGGTATGGCCTTGTTGGAGGAAGTGTGTCGCTGTGGAAGTGGACTTTGAAGTCTCTTCTATACTCAAGCCACAACCAGTGACTCAAACCACTTCCTGTTGCCTGGGGGTCAAGATGTAGGACTCTCAGCCATTCTCCAGCACCATGTCTGTCTGCATGCCACCAAGATGATAATGGATTAAACCTCTGAAAATATAAGCCACCAGAATTAAAGGTTTTCCTTTGTAAGAGTTGCCGTGGTCATGGTGTCTCTTCACAGCAATAGAAACCCTAACTAAGACGGGCAAGAAGCTGACTGGTCACATTGAAACCATTCTTAGGAAGCACAGAGAGAGAAAAGGAAGTGAATCAGGTTATCAAACCCCCCAATTCTGTCCCACCCCTTTCCCCTGGTGAGGTACTTCCTTCATGAAGAAGGCTCTGCCTTCTAAAGGTTCTGTTAGCTTCCCAAATAGTGGTACCAGCTAGGAGCCAAGTGTTCAAACATATGAACCTGTGTAGTATATTTCTCATTTAAACCAGAACAGAGAGAGCCAGAAACAGAGACCTAGACAGATGGAGAG